TTGAAAACTCCTAGCGCAAAGTATTTTGGAAACAAAGCCGCTCCTGCCTGTAGCCCAGCTGTTCTCAGACGGCAGTCTTCGGGCCACTCGCTGGGAGCTGGCATGTCACAGGGATCTCTTCCCGACTGCTGAAGTGCATTAAAAGATGCTAAAAATACAGAAACGCTTTCCTACTGTTTTTCATGTATGCAACCGCTGCAGCTGCCAAAAGGACACGTTATTCAACCATGGACGAGTGGGTGGGGGGTACATGAGATGATAGAAGAGGCAAAGCATTCCTAACACAGGACCTATATTAAGATGCAATCCATGCACTTAAAAAAATATTGACAACGAGCATTTTCCAATGCAGTGTCAGCCACAGGCCATATAAAGAAACACTCTCAAAATAGCTCTCCTACTGAAAAACAAACCAAAACAACCTCTTTCAGGATAACAGAGGATGCAACGGAGTTAAACCCAACCAAGTTTTCTTTCTCGCCTTCATTTATCATTGTTGGTGCTATTTATTTCCTTTAATAACTCACCCAAAGAAACTAGACCACCTGGTTTTACCTTCTGTTCACAATCAGCTTCACTTCCTCGTTATATTACGGCTGCTTTTCAGCACAAGAACATCTGGATTCAGATCTCCGACGTACCAGAGACCCGCTGGGTGACTCTGCACCCCTACCTCTTCTGTGCCTCATTTCCCCCACCCGTGAGCACAAGCACGGCTTAAAAGGCCCAATTCATCCGTATTTGCAGGGCCCTTTTCAATATTTCAGCATTTTCCAATCAGTCAGCCCAGAAATAGCTCTTTTCATCAACCAGTCCGCCTGGCCCTGTGTGTGTTGGGGCTCCTGTTTGCTTGTTTTATTACTGGGCAAAGTCAGCCCGTGCTATTTATAACTCCCGCTCCTCTCACGAGCCCAAGAGAGGATACAATGAGCTGAAATCTTTTTTGGCTCGTGCACACTCAACAGCGAGCACTGAATAACTGGCTGGCGAGGGGAACTCCTTGAGTTGGGAACAGCTGGTAGACAGTCAATGTTGAACCAACTTCCTAGAGTTCTCCATTGCTTAATTTGCTTTCACAGCAATTTCAAATAGGCTAAATAATGGATTATATTGGATTTGCATGGAGCACCCTCCACCCTGCATTATTTTCAAGGACTGCTTCTAGGAGTTGTTTCAATACAGTGTGGAAACTGCCCAAACTGTCCCAAAGAACTGCAAGGACTCGCATTCAGGGCTTTGCTACAGACCCATACGTACCACAAAGACCAGCATTTCCACATCACACGCCACCAACCTGGGTGCAGAGGGATTCAACTTAGAGAACATTTAATTTTCTTCCCCTCTGCAGAAGGGTTTGTCCCCAAAATTACACTTTTACCTTCACTGAGCGGGATCCGAACTTCAAGTTCACTATAGCCTTGACCTTGTTTCTGTTGAGGTTAGCAGTGCATTTCTGTGAACTTCGAGAGCAGCAGAACAGAACCAGTATTAGAAATCAAGGCTATAGATTTAAGAAAGTGCTAAAGCCTGGAATATCAGCTCTCCCTGCTCCTGGCTTTGCTGGCAGCTCTCATATTGATCACAAACACCATGTGTGAATCTGCCACTCCCAGGACCCCTGAGCGGTGGCCAAGCCACAATGGGAGTAAAAACAGTCTGAACTAGAGGATTCCCTTGCCTGTGCTCCACACATGTTCTCCACCACTGACTCCCAGGTCCCATCTGCTCAGCTGACAAGCCAGAACAAGCTTCCTCCCAACTGCCAGCACCGAACCCAGTTACCTGGGGGGAAAGAGAAAGTGAGAATGTTCTTCCTGCTTCATATTCACGTAAAACCTCTTCTCCCTACACCCTCAGGAAGGCACGAGTGGGGGGGCACGAGCTCACACCGCTGCAGCAGTTCTGTGGCATCATCAGGACTGATCAGTCAATGTCCACCCGAGCCCAGGGAACCAGCTGAGAGGGCCAAGCCAAAGAGGATTTTTAAAATGTGTTTGGGCTCATGACTGCATTCAAAGGGCTGGGAAAGGAGCGTTTTGAAGCTGAGTTAGCTGTTTGCAAAGTGCTTTGGGAGCCAGGGGTTAACGCTGCAAGGTAGGAGTAATATAATAAACACGTAACTGGTTCTCTTTCACGCTCCAAGACTGGCAGTAGATAAAGCAGTGAAAACACAGCTATTGACATACTCCAAACACTGAATTATCGCGGATAATACCTGCTCTCCCTCCATCAAAGGCTCTCAAGGCACCTTCCCAGGTTGCTGCAGCACATTGTACAACAGCCCATTATGAGAGACAAGAACCACTGCCCCCATTTCACAGACAGAGAGTGGAGGCACAGAGACTTGCCCAGGCTGAGCCTGGCAGAGCTAAACATAACTCCTAGCAATCCTGGTTCTCCTCTCACCTCTGAACAACACAGGAGGCAGATTCAGGAGCAACAGCTCTCGTTTCCTTGCTCGATCCACTAAACATCACTCTCAGAGCTCAAAGAAAGTCAAAAGTCCCATTTCCAAGGCAGTGGGCAGGTTTAGGGAAAATGACATCATCTCAGAGTGATAATAAAGTGTCACAGCGGTGGGATTCACTGCTATCGTTTACATGACCAATATGATGCTGCCAAAGCTGGGTCAGTGCAAGAAACAAGATCATCCCGAACCGCAGAAGTTACCCTTAGGTCACAGTAGTGTTAGGTGCACAGGACACCTTTCCTGGCAGGAAAGGGGCTGGCACATGCTGCGTGCTGCCAGGAGCAATCAAACAGACCTTATCAACCAGAAGTTTATTGCATCTATCAGCACAATAAGCCTCACAAGGCGCAGTGGCTCTGTGAACCTGATTTCTTCACCGATCCAAAAGGCACTTACTACGATTTAGATACATTAATGACTGCAGCAATGTTCCTGCTATTAGCCATAGCACACAAAAGTCCTAAGCAGAATCAGCTGCTCTGTCAAGCATGAAAACAGGCACAAATCCTGCTCTGGAGAGGCTGCAGTCTGATTTCCCCCTCAGGATCACTGTTTTGGGGAACACATGGGTGGATTCAGTGGCAGCTGGGGAAGGATGGTGATGGTAAGGACCTGGGATATGAGACTCTTATTCCTTGCAGTGACATAAACTCAGTGACTTCACCTCTCTCTGTTCTCTTCTCTTCTCCCCCCTTGTAAACCAGGGCTGGCTTCTAGCTCGCAAGAGAGGAGTGAAACAAAATCCATTCACACTTGCCAAGAGCTTTGAGATCCGGAGATGACAGGCGTTACGCGCGGTGCAGCTCCGAGCGTGATTTAGTTGCACAGTGCATTTGCATTGCTCTGCTAACAGCCAACCTTCCCTCAGAAACCTTTGGAGGCAGGTGGCAGCTGGGAAGAGTTATTCAGCCTAAAGCATTCGCATGCATCAAAGCAAGAAGCTGCAATGCCCAGCCAGCAAACGGAGCTGCTGCAGTGCAATACATACCCAGCCAGGTGCAAGGAGGAGGAAGAACAGAGTCCAGGTTGCTGTCCCCAAGTTGCCAGACATCCCGAGTAAAGGGAAGGGAGGGGACTTGGGCTGCCGACTGACTCACTCCTTCTCCTTCGGAGTTTCTCCCCTCTCTTTGGAGAAAGTTGCACGCCAGCTCCTCTTTAAATAGCCTCCTGGAGGGGGCGTGCCCCACGCTTGAGTGACAATCTGGAAAGCAAGCTGAAATGGGTGCAACAAAAAATGTCCAAATTCCAGGGAACATGAGCAGATTCCTGTGGCCCTGGCGGTTACGGGGCTGCCGGCGCAGCCTGCAGCTTGGTTACTTTCCACATGGGTAAAACAAATCCCAGTAAAAGCAGGATTATTATCTTTTAATTTTTCCTCCTTTTAACTCCAAAAGTATGAAGCCTGGTACAGCTTTCTTGACACAACCCC